ATCCAGTAGCTATGCTGCTACTTGGGAGAGTCTAGAAACTGCAGTTTAAACAGGTAATTTTTCCTATCTGTGGCTGAAATCCTGTTATTTAGCACAATAAGTCACACCTAGATAAGGCAGCTAAATCAGTGGAGATTTAATACGTCAACTCCTCCATAAGTTGCGTTGATTCAAAGGGGCTTACTCTGGTTGTGAGAAGGCAGCTAAATCAGTGAAGATTTGATACGTCAACTCCATAAGTTCCATTGATTCAAAGGGGCTTACTCTGGTTGTGACTTACTGCACTAAAGTACTAAGATGACACAATAAAGGATCACATGGATGGAAAGGGTCAGTTCCTTCAGAGTGATCTCCCGTAAAGGGACCCTTTCATCCATACAAGAACTGCTCCAGCCTGCTCCCCAAAAAGAGTAGCCCTGTGTGGGACCATAAAGGTCCGGCTTGGTCATGGAGCAGGACTGGGGTGGTTTGCAATCTTCTGTACATCATGTGATCATTGGAGACCAGCTAGCGCTGGGCAAGGCTACAAGGGGCCCAAAATGGGAGCAATATCTGATTGGACCCCAAGTCTCTTCTAGAGTAGACCCATTTGAATCAGTGGAACTTACAGAGGAGTTGACTCACCAAATCCCCACTGATTCAGTCGGCCTACTGTAGTACAACGTATTACAGTAAGCAACAGGATTTCAGCCTCTCATTCTCAGATTGATGCATAACACTTGGCTTGCAACCATATTATACTAACGGCTGTGCATTCCTCCTGAAGCTGAGCTTCCTGGATCCTAAGCTTAAGATTCACAGCAATTTTATTGATAAAAATCTCTGTCCTAGAAAAACCCAGGGGGGTGTTGTTTGTTTGTTTGTTTGCTTGCTTTGTTATAACAGAGTCATGTGGCTCAGACTCCTTTAACTTTTCTGAATGGTGATGCTACACCCCTTGATGAAACAGGCACATGACTATACACTCAGCATCATCATACTGGAGAATGTGGTAACACAATTTTAAAAAAAAATGAGTGGGGGGAGCAAACAGGAAAAGGATAAAGAATAAAATTTAATTTTCTGCCCATCCATGCACATTGACTAGTTGCTGCAGAGCTTCAAAAAGTTACTTTTTATAGACTTACAATAGTTCCCTGAAGTTCCTACCCACCATGACCATTCCAGGAGGTGTAGAATTTGTATAATTCCAATCACCAGGTATAGATGTGAAAGCTAAACAGTTAAAAAAAATAGCTGACAAGAAACGCAATGACTTGTTTGAAATGTGGTGCTGAAGGAGAACTATGCGGATACCATGGGCTGCCAGAAAGATGGCACTGTATCTGTTATGAATTACTGTATGTTATAATGTTTGTACTGACTTAATATATATTATGCTGGAAGCCGCCCAGAGTGGTAGATTCTACCAGATGGGCAGGATATAAATAAAATAAATAAAATAAATAAAGTGGGTCCTAGATCAAATCAAGCCTAAACTATCTCTGGATACAAAAATGTTTAGACTTGAGTCTGTTCTATTTTGGCATATCATGAGAAGACAGGATTCTCTGGAAAAGACAATAACGCTGGGAAAGATGGGAGGCAGCAGGAAAAGAGGAAGACCAAATAGGAGATGCGCTAACTCCCTAAAGGAAGCCACAATCTTGAGTTTGCAAGAGCTGAGCAGGGCAGTCTAGGACAGTACATTCTGGAGCTGGCTCATCCATAGGGTCTCCATGCGGCAGAGGCAACTTGGTAGCACTTAACAACAGAATGTATCCAGTTCTGATTCTGTTACTGCAGCTATTAACCCGCAAAGGATACAAAATGTTGAACCCACAGGGGCCCTGAAAGTTCACTTTTTATGCTTTTTAAAAGGACTCTGCAGGATGATGCGTCTTAAAATTAGGACGAGGAGTTCACATTAATCAAGGCTGATGAGTCTTCAAAAATAAAAATGAAATGAAAATACCGTGGGCACAATCTCTATATTACTGTTGTTTAAATTCTTGAAGTTAAGGGGGAGGGCGAAGAAAGTTTAAAGACTGGCAGCCCTGATGACCTTTTCAGTAAATGCTGGGGATTAAAAAAGAGAGAGAGAAAAGAAAAAAAGGAAGGGGATTTTTAAGTGCCTTGCCATTTCTGGGTCTCTTAACGCAGAGCCCGTGAATGCACCAATCAGAGAGCAGATCCAATCCTAAAAATATTCCCGCGCCTCTTTTACCTCTGAAACCGACATTCATGGGTAACCTTATAAGGCAATGCTAATCACAAAAATATAGGCAAGCTTTCCAGATCACTGAACCGTTTAACTTTACACGCCGCCTTTTCAGTCCCTGGCACTCATTGTCGAACAAGGATAACTGTAGTCACTTCAGACACGTGAAAACGGAAGCGCCTTTGGGTAGAAGAGCTTGAAAACCGTGCTTCTGGACTCTAAGTCCCAGAATCCCGCAGTTCACAGGGTGACTGTAGCCCACCGGGTGTTCCATGGACTTCAATTCCCAGGAGCCCCAGCCAGCAAGTCGGTGGAAAAGCTATTGTAGCAGCTGTGGTCATGAGAAAGTCCCATACTCTTATTCCTTAATTATAGCATCTCACCTGGTTACTGAACAAGTGGGTTCCAGTTCAAATCAAGCCGGAACCATCTCTAGAGGCAAAAATGTCGAAACTGAGTCTAACCTACTTTGGACACTTTATGAGAAGGCAGGAAATTCCAGAGAAGACAGAAATACTGGGAAAAGTGAAAGGCAGCAGGAAAAGAGGAAGATATAATAGGAGCCGGAGGTTTACAAGTGCAGAGAAGGGGAGTTGAGGACAGTACATTTTGGAGATGGCTCATCTCCAAAATGGGTTTGGAGGGTTGACATGAGTTGGAGGTGGACTTGATAGCACACAACAAAAAAAACCTAAGTTCTGTAAAATTGGAAATATCCCAATGGTCATCTAGACCGATCCCTGCCAACGCAGGACCAATCCATAAATGAAACATCCATTACAGGGCACCACCCAACCTCTATTTTAAACCCCCAAGCCAAGGTGAGTGAATCCACCACCTTCCAACTCACTCTGTGCCACAGTTACATGATTCTTGCTATAAGAGTGTCCTCCATGAGAAACCCCCCTCCTTTCCTCACGCCTTTCACATAATCAGAACATAAACAAAATCGGGGCGGGGGGCGTTGATAAGAAATTGTCATCACACTCTGGTCACTCCACATCTCAGCAACTTGCTTTTCCTATGAACTTTGACTCAAAAACATTTCTAATGCCTCTCAAGTTACATGTTATGCCCTGGTTTAAATGGCTTTAAGAACGAGGGGGGGATTTAACAGGGAAGGTATTGTGTGGATATTGCTATATAAGTAAAGGGCCCCATAAAAGGTGGGGATGGGTCTCCATGGAAATAACTGGCTTCCCTTGCCCCCCCCCCGCACAGCACCTGCTGCCTGAGGCGTTTATCTCTCCCTGCCTATTGTTCAGTCCAGCCCCAGTTCTTATCTCTGGTATGTCTTCAAAACAAACGCACAAGGTAAAAGGGACTGATAAAAGAAACTGCCCGGACAGCTATCATCACAAGTAAAACTTTGAACCCAGGTTCCCCATGTGGGTAACTAAAGTCTTATCTATGGGAACACCCCCAGTTCAGCTGTATCTGCTGCCGATCTACGATATAAGTGGGCAATTTAAAACCCTTCATGTGACAAATTAAGATTCCTCGAGGTTTCCCAGTCCTCAATACATACAGTATCCTTGCATTTCTCTGGGAAATTACTTTTGTTTTAGAAGCTGATGAAGAAAGATGTTTTAAAATCACCAGTTCTATTTGAAGTGAAACCTCAATGAAACTAAGAAACTCAAAAAATAGGGGAATAGTAAACCACTTTTGAGTATTCCCTACTTAGAAGCTGCCAGGTTTCAGAAGTCATAACAGAGGGAAGAAAACAGGGAGCTTATGGCAAGAAAAGTTTATGCTGCTTACTGTATGTTTATGCTAATATGGAAATTCAGCATTTTAACTGTGGACTTCAATAGGAATATTCTCTAACCTTCCTTATTTCATGTCCACCCATGGTTAGATAGAGATATTCCAAGTACCCATCTCTACATACCTTGTTTACATCTTTTTACTGCCTTTCAATCAATGTGCCATGGATTGCAATAGCACTAATCTACTTTGGAAGCAATTTTTCGATACAGGAGCCCTGCGGCTTTCTGATTACAAATGTATAATAAAGAAAAATTGCATGGATGATTAGAAAAGGGGGAAAACATACAAAACAGTAAGTAACAGATTTGTCAGTTTCTGAGTTAAAAACTGTGACCCAATATAATCAATAGCTGTCTAAAGAGAATGAACAGAATCTCTAAAAGTGTGGTGGGTACATTATGCACGAAGGCTTATCAAAGCCTTAGGAACCGAAAAACGTTTTTGATTAATTTTGAGTTGATCCGTCCTAAAACTCAAGGCATTTGTCTGCAAGTTATCTCCTCTCCCAGCCCAAAGTGAATGAATGAATGTGTTACTTGAGGCACTTCAAACCGCTGGGAGGGCGAAACCGCTGCCCGGGAGACCTTCCCTCCCGGACCCCCTCGGGCCAGACCCCCCAAAGTTTGGCCTGCCCGCCTTTCCCGCCGCCTCCAGCCCAAGAGGAGTTTTTAATTTAGACGAAAAAGGCAAAGATTTCCTCGTGGAAGAGGCGCCCAGCGGGCAGCTGCTGCCATCCCGCCCGCTTTTCCGCCCGCCGCCGCGGACCCCTCTCCAGACACGGCCGGGCGCAGGAAGCGCAAGTCCGCCGCGTCCCTCTCCGCCGCCACCGGCCCGGTTCCGAAGCGGGGCGGCCGAGATTTGGGCTCTTTTGGGGACCCCAAGAAACACAAAGTTGCCGCGACAGGAGCCATGTCTGACTCGGGCCGAGCAGGGCCTGGGAACGCACCAATCAGAGCGCAGCTCCGCCCCTATAAATACCAGGCAGCGCCTCCGCTGCGCTCCAGACTTTACTTTTCGGCCCTCGTCTTCGAGCGATCCTCCGCTCCCCCGCTAAGTCCGCCAACCAGCAGCAGCCAGAGCACCCGCCGTGCGCGCCATGTCCGAGACGGCTCCCGAGGCTCCGGTGGCGGCAGCGCCGCCCGCCAAGGCGCCGGCCAAGAAAGCCAAGAAGCCGGCGGGCGCCTCCAAGCCGCGCAAGGCCTCGGGCCCCAGCGTGACCGAGCTGCTCACCAAGGCGGTGGCCGCCTCCAAGGAGCGCAACGGGGTCTCGCTGGCCGCCCTCAAGAAAGCCCTGGCCGCCGCCGGCTACGACGTCGAGAAGAACAACAGCCGCATCAAGCTGGGCCTCAAGAGCCTCGTCGGCAAAGGCACCCTCGTCCAGACCAAGGGCACCGGCGCCTCGGGCTCCTTCAAGCTCAACAAGAAGCAGCACGACACCAAGGACAAGGTGGCCAAGAAGAAGCCCGCCGCTGTCAAGAGCAAGAAGACGCCCGCCAAGAAGCCGGCCGCTGCTAAGAAACCCAAGAAGCCCGCCGCGGCTGCCAAGAAGAGCCCCAAGAAGCCGGCCAAGAAGCCCGCCGGGGGCGCCAAGAAGTCCGCCGCTGCCAAGAGCCCCAAGAAGGCCAAGCCGGCCAAGCCCAAGAAGGCAGCAGCCGCTGCCAAGAGCCCGGCCAAGGCGAAGGCCAAGGCCGTCAAGGCTAAGCCCAAAGCCAAGCCCAAGACGCCCAAGGCCAAGGTGGCCAAGCCCAAGAAGGCTGCGCCCAAGAAGAAGTGAACGCGCTGCTCACCACCTCGCTCGCATCCCAAAGGCTCTTTTAAGAGCCACCCACCCGCTCACGGCAAAGAGCTGACCAGGGCCCGCCTCGCCCATTTTCCACGCACAGTCCAGAATTAATCATTTGCTTTCAAGGCAATTCTGATTTACCGCGACCTTTTAGGGTTGTCTAGGTTTTACGATTCCCTTTCGGGGAGGGCAAGAGGGGCTGCTTGTTTGGGGATAAATGGGGAACTGAACTTGATTTCTGGCTCAGCAGGCAAATATCTGAGCTATTGTTTCGTGTTCGGGTACTTGTTCACTGTCCTTAAATAAGCGAATGTCATGTCAGCGACCACATGTAGTAAAGGTAGTACCCTGCCCTTTTGTCAATGAAGCTGTGATTGGCTGTTAATAATCAGCCCTACTATCGTTTTACAATTTTACAACAATAACAATCTGCAGTCGAGCAGGTTATTAACGGCCAGTCATTAACAAAGCAGGCTTACCGCTGTACCGCCGCGCTGACCTCAGAATACATATTCGACTCAATTTACCGGCAGTACTTCTGCAACATCGAAAAAAACCCACTTCAATCTGACACAAGCCTAAAATGCAGTCCAGTTGGGACTTTTGAAAGCTAAACTTTCTGTGCAAAAGCCTATTTCCAAAATTCTACCTTCCTGCTTTTAAGAAGTGACTAGTGATTGACAATGAATTGGAGAGTACACCAACTCACGTCACAAAAATATTGACAGAGATCAAGTATAAATAAGGTAGGCTTGTGATTCTGAGCAGCCGATTTATATCGTATGCATTTGCCCGAATAAATCCTGGGGATGACGTTATAAATCCTCCCTCCCTTCATTCGCTTGCTACGGAGCTTTTCGTCCCAGGTTCCGTCAAGTTGCAGCCTTCTCGGGAATGTATCGTGCGTGTTAAAGTCGAAACCAGCTTATCGCGACTCTAACAGGGTTTTTAATGTGAAATATTTAAGTAGTTTTACCAGTTCCACCGCAGCGTAAGTTTCTATGGCCGTCGGAATTCGAACCCTGAGCTTCGCTTTATCGTTACACCACGCTTCTTTGTAATTGTTCCCAAAAAGAAGCTCGGAAATATTACCGGCTGAAGAATTTTTGAAGTAAATCTGGGTTATAGATAGATTGGCTCAATTAAGAAACGATACCTAGGGGCGCCAGGATGGCACACAGCAGCCGGTTATCGAGAGAAGCCTGTTTAAAATAGAAGCCTAGTTCTTCCAAAGATACAGCTAGTTACTAGATCAACTTTTGGAAGAGGGGGAAAAACTGGCAAAGTTTTAAAAGAAATACAGATCACAACATTAGGAAGTTAGCTCTAGGACCGACAACAGCGAAAACTAGCTCTTTAGAAAGTGAAAATTTGGTGGCTCTTAAAAGAGCCTTTGGGTCTTTTTGTGAGGGTTTGCTGAAAGTGAAACCAGAGTCTTTAAGCTCTCTCTCCGCGGATACGGCGAGCCAGCTGGATGTCCTTGGGCATGATCGTGACTCTCTTGGCATGGATGGCACACAGGTTGGTGTCTTCAAAGAGACCTACCAAGTAAGCTTCGCTGGCTTCCTGCAGAGCCATGACGGCAGAGCTTTGGAAGCGCAGATCAGTCTTGAAATCTTGAGCAATCTCGCGCACCAGGCGCTGGAAAGGCAGCTTCCGGATCAGAAGCTCAGTCGATTTCTGGTAACGCCGGATCTCTCGGAGAGCGACGGTACCAGGGCGATAGCGATGGGGCTTCTTCACACCGCCGGTAGCTGGTGCGCTTTTACGCGCGGCCTTCGTGGCAAGTTGCTTCCGCGGAGCTTTCCCGCCGGTAGACTTGCGAGCAGTCTGCTTGGTTCTAGCCATTTTCTTCAGAAAAGAGTCCTCGAATCTCTCCCTCCGAGATCACCTAGAAGAATGAAAGCTTCGGCCAGACGGGTCGCTTATTTATAGCCAGTCTCTCCTCTTTCTATTGGCTGAGAGCACTGGGAAAGACGTTAGGAAGATTTGAATTTCCCGGGCTATGCCAGGATTGGTCCAATGACGTTGACACTCTCTGTTGGCTACTTATTTTCTCACGCCCACTCTTTTGTTCTCGAGCTGAAGGAGCGCCTTCGAGCCACCAGGGGAGACCTATCCCCCCCCCCCCCCGCCTGCGCCTCTCCTCTCACAAAAGATTTCCCCGGGACTAAGCGAATCTCACAATGCTATTGAAAAACATGGATAGGTTTGTTCTCCTTGCAGTCCAGGGGACACTCAAGAGTCTCCTCCAGCACCACAATTCAAAAACGGAGATACTAGATCTAAACAGTTACTATATTTCGTTTCACTTCTGGCATAATACTTTCCTTTGTGGAATGCAAAGAGCCTCCTGATGTCCAAGAGTAGAACCGGGTAACGCCATTGTGGGGCTACTGAAATATTTTACAAACATGGAAGTGTGTTTCAAACACTTCTAATGTCATAATACTCTTTCCATTCATTGCTTTGCCTGGTGCATGACCTCAGTTTCAATTCCAGTTTGGCTAAAAGGAGAATTGCCCTCTAATTTGTTGATGCTGGTTCTTCTTTTGCCAGCATGGAGGCCATGTGCTAAATGGGAATTTTGCTTTGTCTATAGGCAGGGAAAGGGGCACTGCTTCTATCAAACTGGCAGAGGCAGCACACAACGAAAATCGAAATGTATTTACTCGGAAGCACATTATGTTCCACCGAAATCTACTTCGGTTGAAGTACTACACACCTTCCTGTGAATAAGCCCCTTTGAAAATTTTTGGATTTGTTCCTGAGTAAACATGTGTAGACACTTTGGGTGTGCTTTAAAATAGCAGAAATGAGTGCAACTGGTGGGTCTACTTTTCTTTTGAATTACATCCTTGCAGCTCACAAACTAGGCAACACAATGATGGCAACCTTATATTCTTTGCTCTCCTTTAGAATTTGACAGCAAAGTATATAGTGCATCTCCATGGGCCATGTTTAAAGGGTGAACAGTTTTTTGTCCTGTACTGCAGTATCTTTAGTAAGTAAAATATCACACACATCATCATAAATAAGATTACAGGATCGCGCATTGCTTGAGGAAGATATGAGTCATTCTTAGCCACTGAAGTCCCACTCAATTCTGAGATAATTAAGTGGAAAAACCAAGACTTTACATATTAACTTGGACTAGACTAGATGTACAGTATAAGCAAGAAAGAAGCAATGGCTGGCAGATTCTGGGAGCAGAAATCCAAAAGAACCGCTTCCTCCCCCCGCCAAAAAAAACAATGTTCTAAACTCCAAACTGAAGCAGTCCCTCTAAAATTGATTATAATTTACTTAATTACTAACATGTGCCATTAATTTCATGGTGCCAACTCTCATTACACATTAAATTGAACCCAGATCATTATACCTTTTCTCTGTTTACTTTTGCAATCCTTGACACTTTCCAATAGGTAAAGATTTGTTTTTTTCTCCTTTTCTTTTACAAAAAATCTTTAAGATGCATTAAATATTGCTTATAGAGGCTGAATCGAATGCTGCCTTTCTCAATTTTGTGCACTTCAAATATACAGTATTTGATTACAAGTCCCATTATCCCTTGGCAGCATAGCCATGTAAAAGTATCACCAGACTGGGGAGGACAGACTGTTGCTTTGAACCTGCATTTCTTCACCTTTGTTGATTTCCCCCCCAATGCTTATGTGGTAGTAAATTTACCTTTCATATCACTGCTTTTGTGAAGTCTCTCCTGACTATTTCTAGTGGTGCACTAAAATCAAACTACAGTACATTCTAAATTGGAATGGTTTGAAAACACCATTTATAAAGTACATATAGTGGAATATACTGTAGTGTACATGATTTTAAAAGGAAGTACTTCCTCCTACAGCATATGATTCATTTGTACAGCGTTCTCACACCTTGGCTTACCCTTCCATTCTTAGGATGCTCCAGGCTGGCTGGCTTTTCTCCTGAAAGGCATAAGGGGGAATTGAACTTCCAAACCCATGTGCTCCATCTTACTGAGTGAGATATCTATCCAGCTACATTTATTGTATTTTATTGTATTTGCTTGATTTATTTAGACTTGGTCATTTTGTAACCCATTCTAAATAAAACAAATGGGAGTAAATATTTTAGCCAGCAATTGAGCCTGATTTTCCTCACTGATATAGAAAAAAAATCTAATGAATTCATGAGATTTCTTAAAAGAATTAATGTTTTGTTTGCCATACTTTTTTTTAGACTGCAGGCTATAAAAACTCAGTACAAATAAATGTGTGATCTTCAGGATACTACCAAAATTCCGCTACAATATGGCAGGCTACCTTAACTACTTTCAAGATTTCGGTTGAATTAGCTTTCTTTTAAGTAGCTTTATTTTTAAACTGCAAGCTAACAAGCAGATATACAGGCAACACAAACAACAACAGAAGTAGAAAAGGTAGCAGACGCAATAGGACACAGCTCTTTCTCTGTTGGTGTAGGTGGCCCTGAAAAGGACCTTTTCGTTGTAGATTTAGAAGTGTTGCTTTTTAACCCCCAAAGCCGTACAAGGTGCGGCCCTGCCGCTTCAGAGCATACACAACATCCATGGCAGTCACGGTCTTCCGCTTAGCATGCTCAGTGTAAGTCACCGCATCGCGAATCACATTCTCCAGAAAAACCTTCAGCACACCACGCGTCTCCTCGTAGATCAAGCCTGAAATACGCTTTACTCCTCCACGGCGAGCCAAACGACGGATAGCGGGCTTAGTAATACCTTGGATGTTATCACGAAGCACCTTCCGATGCCTTTTGGCGCCTCCTTTCCCTAGACCTTTTCCGCCCTTTCCACGACCAGACATCGTCGCTATAGAACTCTAGGAGTCTCTTTCAGAGAAGAAAGTGATTCTCAGCCTGGCGTGACTGACTTTATATAGCTTGGTACCCGACCAGGGTGAAAACAGGACATGTGTCTCAGCTTGGAAGTCTGGCCAATGAATGACTACTTCGGAAATTTAAACTGACCAATAGGAGACCAATCTTTCAAAGTCTCCTATTGGTCAGTTTGCCGCTCTTTCTGAATGATTCTTTTTGTCAACTAGACCTAAGCTGGCGGGTGGGATGCTGTCTGCCTACCCCGCCCACGGAAATTTTCCAACAGAAAAAGACTACATTAGATTCAAACGCAGTTAAGGTTACAACAGGGCAGTGAAATCTGCGGGACTTAAAATGGCTGTGTCATGCTCCTTGAGATATCTTAACAGTTCTTTAAGGAACCAGCTCTTTAAGACCAACAAGTTCAATCTTAATTGCTTTATTGAGGCATTACCTGCCATAGCTTGTGAACTGAGTGGAAGGAACATCTCACATACACCCTTCCAAATAACGGGAGATCTCTCCTGCCTCAGTCATAAGCCGACATAGACATCGCCTTGTTTCTGTTTGGTTTACCTCATTTGTCACTCCTCAGGTGAGTGAGTGAGTGAGTGAGTGAGTGAGTGAGTGAGTGAGTGAGTGAGAGATAAATAATTCTATTGCTCCCCCCCCCATTTTCCAGCTTAAAATTCCAGAGACCCAAGAAGTCAAATTGTTCACAAAATTATCAAATCTATAATTTTATAGATTTTATAGGGGAGGTAGGGAAAACATGCCTGCAGCCATTTCTAAAGAACTTAATATTATATTATAATGATAATTTGTCCGAGGTTTTTTTACAGATTTGTCCAATCTGTGCCAATCTGTACAATCTGTGTTTTGATTTAAATACTGCATACATGCATACATATTCAGATGTTCTTGCATGAGCAAAGGATTAATTAAACAGCATTTTCAGCCTTGTTTAACTTTAGGATTCATTGAAGAGCTGATTGTCAAGATAAAGGGCAAAATATTCATCCAGGGCAACAAGGTACACATGGAGATTGCAGACTGAACAAAATCATTGGTAGGGGGCAGGGATCAAGGTACATCTAGCAACCACCATGGTGGGAAGATAACAGCGTTCCGTGTCTAGTCGTGCTGGCCACGTGAGCACAGACACTGTCTATGGACAAAACACTGGCTCTAGGGCTTGGAAACAGGGATGAGCACTGCACCCTAGAGTCGGACATGACTGGACAAATTGTCAAAGGGAACCTTTACCTTTACCATACTCCTTTGTATCCAATCCAAAGATGAGAGTGGGTGATTTTTATTACACAACTAAAATATTAAAATGGAAGGTATCTTTCAACTCCATTCTAGTATTCTGTACTTAATGACTTGCAGATTTTAACAAGTTTGGGGCATTCTAATCCACATGACCAGGGTAAAATTTGAAATGTACAGTCTGAGTAGATCCTGCAGCCCCCCCATTTTGAAATTTCATTTTAACAGGGCATCTGCTGTTGGACTTTGGAACTCATTTTTTTTCTGTAACTTCCATTCTGTAACTGAGGAAGATTCCCATGGAATCAAAAGTTGGCTTTTATTTATTATTAGCATCTGTTCTTGATATTTTAGCAATCTAATACTGTAAAGGTATCACCCATGCTTGTTTTTGTATGCCATAAGTTTTGGAGAGAGTCTGCCTTAATAAAGTTATTAGTTTTTACATTAACACAATAGTATTTACGTTACCACAATTGTGTTTGGAAGTCTTCAGAAAACCAAAGGTATTAAGTCACTTGGGGCTTTTGATCCCCACCTACATCTTGCTTATCTTGTAGCTGTTCTCTAATTAGTTTCTAAGCAAAGGTTTGGGGCCAATTTTCACAGCAAATTCAATGTTTAAATTATGGTTTAAAAGAACTTCGATCCATGTAGGTAAAACTTTGAAGACTGGAAAGGGTTAACAGAATAAGGAAGTTTTAGAATTTTTATTTATTTATTTATTTATTTATTTGATTTATACCCCACCCATCTGGTCTAAAAGACCACTCTAGAAGAGGTAGCCGCCTTAGTCTGTGACAACAGATCAGCCGAAATCTAAAGAAACAAAACAAGAGGAAGACAAAAACATGTCGTGCCTTAATTATTTAATTCATTCATTCATTCATTCATTTATTCTATTATACTATATTTTAATATAAGCTTTCGTGTTCAAGCTTACATTGTAGGACAATTACAGAATAAGGAAGGTGAATTGAGGAGACGGGTGGTAAACAAGGACGGAATTTAAACTTCCCGCGCTGAGGGAAAGCGTTGTTAGAAATCCCAGCTTCGATTGTAATTCCTTCGTTCTTGAAAGAAATTCCCTTTAACTCCCCACTTTCCAATAGCAAACCCGGTAAAGTGATTGCAGGACGTTGGGAAGGAGGAAATACGAAAAGCGTATTTGAGACAGGAACAGCGAATTAATTGTGGGGTGAGAAGACACAGGCTGTAGAAAACAGTATTAAAAGGTAGAAAGCAGCTGCAGCAGGAACAGCCGAGAGAGGGAAAATGGCGCCCGGCTGTGAGACGTTCTGCAGGGATTAAATTAGCAGCACGCTAAAGGGACTTTTCTATAAGGAAAACTTCTAAAATGACGGGCACGCATTAGTTTTTTAAGATTTCCTTTCTCGCATGCTAAAAAGGTTTCCCGAACGGAAGTATTTTTGCTAAATAGAACCAGCCGGTTAACTGTTAACTATGTTCCGCTACAGTAACACCTTTCTGATACATTGCAACCATCGGCCACTTCTACTATCCCCGGAGCTTCATCGGAAAGAGGATCGCATTAATAAAACAAAAAAGATTGCAGCTCTTTTTTCGAAAATGTGGGTGGCCCTGATAAGGGCCTTTGGGATTGATAAATATATTTTCAGGCTGTTGCTTTTGCAAATTAGGCTTAGCCACCAAAACCATAAAGGGTCCGGCCTTGGCGCTTCAAAGCATACACAACGTCCATGGCCGTGACGGTCTTTCGCTTGGCATGCTCCGTGTAGGTCACGGCGTCGCGGATCACGTTCTCCAAAAACACTTTCAAGACGCCACGGGTCTCCTCGTAGATCAAGCCAGAAATGCGCTTCACCCCTCCGCGACGAGCCAAGCGCCGGATAGCAGGCTTAGTAATGCCCTGGATGTTATCTCGAAGCACCTTGCGATGTCTCTTGGCACCCCCTTTGCCCAGACCCTTCCCGCCTTTTCCACGACCAGACATGACTGCCAACACAAAACACCTCAAACACCAAAAGGACTAAAAACGATTGTGATGCAGAGCCGGTCTCACGGGTTTATAAAACACTTGGGCGGACCTGACTGAAAACCTAGGGAGAGGGGGCTGTACTTTTTTTCAGTCCCGCCTTTTCACAGTTGATTTGTCACGGCGAGTGAGCTTCTTCACCAATCAATTGCCTGAAGTCAGAACCAATCACATTTACCAGTTACTTCACTGTGGTTTGGAGCAGAGACGCGACAAAAGAACTTTAAAGATAGAGAGAGAGAGAAAAAAAAATTAAGCTCTAGAGAATGTTGTTGTTTTAATTGAAGGCATGTAAAATCATCAAAAAAAGCAAAAAAACAAAAAACAAAAAAAAAACCCCACACACCCAACAAGTCAATGTTGAACGATTTCCCCCTGCATAACTTTCACAGAGAACTTTATTAAGGAAACTGACTAGATGGAAAAGATTTATTTAATGCTTGTGTAGTAAGTCAATGCTTTCTTTTTGCGTCTTCTATTTAGCTTCAGAATTTCTTTCAGGGTAAGAATTGAAATCTGGAACAAAGTGGAACAGCTACAATTAGACATCACTGCAAAAAGGCAGCGCCCCACCATATAATCCCCTTCCAAGCGATCACTCGGTAAATGTACTTTATAATATTTTTTGTTTCGGAAACTTTTTTTGACAAGGTAATAAGGGTATAGCAATATAGCAAAGATACTGTTACGTGCCAACTCTAAGATCGTCGCTCGTTGGTCAGGTCTGGTTCTTTAAAAATTACCTGATTGCACCAAAAGGTCCTATTTGTCCAATTATGGTGGAGCCCGGGAACCCTTTTTTTAAAATACCGCGGCCAATCAGAAATGAAGAGGTGGCTATAAATGTCCACGAGGTCGCCTTAGAGGCTCATTCCTTTTTGTTGTTTGGAGATTTTGAAGTTCTCTGTTTTAGGGAAAGAGAATGGCTCGTACCAAGCAGACTGCCCGTAAATCTACCGGTGGAAAAGCTCCCCGGAAGCAGCTGGCTACGAAGGCTGCCCGGAAAAGTGCTCCAGCTACCGGCGGCGTTAAAAAGCCTCATCGCTACCGGCCGGGTACTGTGGCTTTGCGGGAAATCCGGCGCTATCAGAAATCCACAGAGCTCTTGATCCGCAAATTGCCTTTCCAGCGTTTGGTGCGCGAGATCGCCCAGGACTTCAAAACCGACCTGCGCTTCCAGAGCTCGGCGGTGATGGCCCTGCAAGAAGCCAGCGAGGCTTACTTGGTGGGTCTTTTCGAGGACACCAATCTCTGTGCCATCCATGCTAAACGGGTCACTATCATGCCGAAAGATATACAGCTCGCCCGGCGCATCCGCGGAGAAAGAGCTTAAGGCGGCCCGCTTTCTCCTTGATTCACACTTAATAACACAAAGGCTCTTTTAAGGGCCGACACAGCTTCCTCTGAAAGAGCTGGAGTGCGCATCAGTTTATCGGTGTGAGAAAAGGCCAAATGGGGAAACTGCTTGGTGGCCATAGGTTTCGTGGACTTCAATTCCCAGAAGCCCTGGCAAGGAGGAAAAGGATCATGGGCAATGTGGCCTCAGAGAAGGAAGATCTGTCGCCCCTAGATTACTTCCCCATCATAAACTGTATAGATCCACACGAGTCTACCGATCCACCAGTTAATTAATTTTTCTGTGTAGGGAAGCCGGTTGAGCAGCGTTTGCGCGTTAAGAAAGAAAGTATAGGGGAACTCTCGTGGATTGCAGAGAAAAAGGGCCATTCCCCCCCCCCCAAGGGTGTAATGAATGGCTCTTAAAAATACATGCCTACTCAGTGCTTGCATGGTAAAAAAAATTAAATGGAACAGAGTTACTGACAAATTTATCCTGCAGGTAACAAAAGGATACGCTGTGACCTGCTTACACGAGAACATCTAATGTCTGAGGAAGAGGACTCGTGCAGGAAAGCTGACACACTAAAATACAGTAGTTATTCTTTCAGGTGGCACGCTTTTGTCTTTATTATTATTTCTTTTGTTTTTGTCTGATAGCAGACTAACACAGCTACTTCTAAAAGCATTAAATAAAACTCAATTTTAGAAGACGTGGGAAAAGCCACAGGACCCTATTGTGTGCCGCTGATGCTCATTTGGACAGCGCCATTTTACCCGAGGAAAAATCTTTAATATAAATCCAACTGTACAGTCTGTGAGAAAGTGGGCAAAGCCGGCCCTGGTTGCGTGCGCGTGGGCTTGTGGTGTTTTTGGAGTGGGTGTGAGAGGAGAGAGATAGAGATCAGCTCTTTGCCGTGAGCGGGTGGGTGGCTCTTAAAAGAGCCTTTGGGATGCGAGCGAGGTGGTGAGCAGCGCGTTCACTTCTTCTTGGGCGCAGCCTTCTTGGGCTTGGCCACCTTGGCCTTGGGCGTCTTGGGCTTGGCTTTGGGCTTAGCCTTGACGGCCTTGGCCTTCGCCTTGGCCGGGCTCTTGGCAGCGGCTGCTGCCTTCTTGGGCTTGGCCGGCTTGGCCTTCTTGGGGCTCTTGGCAGCGGCGGACTTCTTGGCGCCCCCGGCGGGCTTCTTGGCCGGCTTCTTGGGGCTCTTCTTGGCAGCCGCGGCGGGCTTCTTGGGTTTCTTAGCAGCGGCCGGCTTCTTGGCGGGCGTCTTCTTGCTCTTGACAGCGGCGGGCTTCTTCTTGGCCACCTTGTCCTTGGTGTCGTGCTGCTTCTTGTTGAGCTTGAAGGAGCCCGAGGCGCCGGTGCCCTTGGTCTGGACGAGGGTGCCTTTGCCGACGAGGCTCTTGAGGCCCAGCTTGATGCGGCTGTTGTTCTTCTCGACGTCGTAGCCGGCGGCGGCCAGGGCTTTCTTGAGGGCGGCCAGCGAGACCCCGTTGCGCTCCTTGGAGGCGGCCACCGCCTTGGTGAGCAGCTCGGTCACGCTGGGGCCCGAGGCCTTGCGCGGCTTGGAGGCGCCCGCCGGCTTCTTGGCTTTCTTGGCCGGCGCCTTGGCGGGCGGCGCTGCCGCCACCGGAGCCTCGGGAGCCGTCTCGGACATGGCGCGCACGGCGGGTGCTCTGGCTGCTGCTGGTTGGCGGACTTAGCGGGGGAGCGGAGGATCGCTCGAAGACGAGGGCCGAAAAGTAAAGTCTGGAGCGCAGCGGAGGCGCTGCCTGGTATTTATAGGGGCGGAGCTGCGCTCTGATTGGTGCGTTCCCAGGCCCTGCTCGGCCCGAGTCAGACATGGCTCCTGTCGCGGCAACTTTGTGTTTCTTGGGGTCCCCAAAAGAGCCCAAATCTCGGCCGCCCCGCTTCGGAACCGGGCCGGTGGCGGCGGAGAGGGACGCGGCGGACTTGCGCTTCCTGCGCCCGGCCGTGTCTGGAGAGGGGTCCGCGGCGGCGGGCGGAAAAGCGGGCGGGATGGCAGCAGCTGCCCGCTGGGCGCCTCTTCCACGAGGAAATCTTTGCCTTTTTCGTCTAAATTAAAAACTCCTCTTGGGCTGGAGGCGGCGGGAAAGGGGGGCAGTCCAAACTTTGGGGGGTCTGGCCCGAGGGGGTCCGGGAGGGAAGGTCTCCCGGGCGGCGGTTTCGCCCTCCCAGCGGTTTGAAGTGCCTCAAGTAACACATTCATTCATTCACTTTGGGCTGGGAGAGGAGATAACTTGCAGACAAATGCCTTGAGTTTTAGGATCTATAAAATGTCTTTTGGTTAAACATACACACCCGAAAGAACACTAGCGATGTCCTTAACTTTGCTGGGTTATGAAAAGGATGATTACAAGAGTGGCTCAGGAACCAGTTGTCCTTTCTTGGTTCTACATCAACCTGGTTTTAGAGTGGAAGGGTTGGTTCACTTCCTATGGAAATCCATTTTGTTGTTTCCTCTTTGTTTCTAGGTTCGTCTTTTGGTTAAACATACACACCCGAAAGAACACTAGCGATGTCCTTAACTTTGCTGGGTTATGAAAAGGATGATTACAAGAGTGGCTCAGGAACCAGTTGTCCTTTCTTGGTTCTACATCAACCTGGTTTTAGAGTGGAAGGGTTGGTTCACTTCCTATGGAAATCCATTTTGTTGTTTCCTCTTTGTTTCTAGGTTCGTATTTATCTGTATAATAATTTTTGCCACCAAAAAGCCTAATGATTGATCTAGGTATCTGAGATAACAAAGGTTACTAGAAGTCTATCGTGTCTGGTGGAGAATGTCTAGGAAACAAAAGGACACAAAGCCAAGCTAACTGGGAACGAAACTCAATGCTGTAAACAAGAATATAGCATTGATGAAAGACCTGAAATAAAACGAAGGAGACAATTGATGGATGAAACAACTGAAATTGGGAGAGGGGACAAATTTGTATCTTTTATTTTATTGACAGATATTTAATAATACTTTTTACAAATACAGGAAAACTTTAGTATAACATCAGATGGCTAACATCGCAATATTTTGGAACAAAACCTCAAAAACAACCAAACAACTGCATTGTTGTTGTTATGTACCATCGGACCATTTCCAATTTATAGCAACTCTATGAATTAGCAATATCTGAAATGCCCTGTCCTCAGCTGCCCTGCTTAGCTTTTGCTGATTCATTTAGGGAATTAGTCCATATCACATTGGGTCTTCCTCTTTTCCTACTGTCTTTGACTTTACTTACTTATTTACCCTGTTTCCCTTAAAATAAGACCTAACCTGAAAATAAGCCCTAGTAGGATTCTTCAGGCTGCTCGTAATATAAGCCCTGCCCCCCAAATAAGCCATAGTTAAGTAAAACCCTGCCCTCCATCATTGTGCAGCAACAAGAATAAGATGACATGACTGTACAGTATTTGGATAAACATTCAATGAATCATTGTTGTACATGAAAAAAAAAATAAAACATCCCCTGGAAATAAGCCCTAATGCATTTTTGGAACAAAAATTAATATAAGAACCTGTCTTATTTTGGGGGAAACAGGGTACTTACTTACTTAAAATATTTTTGCCCCACCTTTCTCATTAAAAGGACACAAGGCAGCTTTCCCAGCATTATTGCCTTTTTTCAGAGAATCCTTCCTTCTCATGATATGCCAATAGTAGGACAGCCTCAGTTTTATCATTTTTGCCTCCGGAGATAGTTCAGTCTTGATTTGCTCTAGAACCTACTTGTTCTTCTTTCTGGAAGTCCAGGGTCTCTGCAAAGCTCTCCTCTAGCTCCACATTTCAAGAGAATTTATTTCTTTTGTCTCTGTCAGCTTTTTTTACTGTTCAATTTTCACATCCATACAGAGTGATCCTTGTGGATCATTCAGCATTCCTAATCTAGGCTTAAATTTCCCTTTGATTTCTAGGATCTTCTGGAAGAGATCTCTTGTTTTCCTGTTTTTGTTCTCTATTTCTTGGCATTGGCTATTGTAATTGTTCTCTTATTCTCTATGGGATAGTCACAGAGATGTTCCATCCAGGGTTCTGACCCTATTTCTGTCACCTTTTACTGTTGCTTCTCGACTATCTTCTTATTATTATCATCATCATCATCATTATTATTATCATTATCATTATCATTATTATCATTATTATCATTATTATCATTATTTCATTCCTTTCCCTCATGTGGAGCTCCAATTGCCAAATACATTTTTTGTGCCATGCAGCATAAACCCACTGAATGAATGGGAATCATTTAGGTGTCAGTGAAGTCAGTGATTCAGTAGATCTACGAAAGATGGGATTAGCCCTAAAATTCCATCTGGTGAATTTAGTTTGAAACACATTGTCTCCTTCCTGTAAGCTATTCCTTTGAAACACACAAGAACAGTTTGAAAAAGGAACCTGATTTCAAACCAGTTAATATAGATTTGTGTAATTTATCTGCAGTTCCATCTGGCACTACAGTTCCCAGGATTGTTAAATGGGGACAAACAGTAAAGCCAGCCACTCTTGTTAAAGGCAGTTTTAGAAGTTTGACAGCAGACCTAACAGACATGGGTTCAAAGCCTGTACAGCTAAAAGTGTCATATCTTCAATACTAAACATTTGTAAACACTTCTAAAGGGATAGCCACATTGTAATAAATGCAGGACTAAAATATATATATTATAGAGTGGACTTTAATGGATTATAGCTCCCTCCCTTAGAGGCATCTGAACAAATACACTGTCATTCACAGAAGCAGATAAGACCCATCAATTCAGTAGCATTTACATAAATTCACATAAATTTTGGCTTACCATTCAGTGATTTATTCAATGGTCTATTGTCTAGTCAAGACTAGCTATAGGAGCCTGGGTTTAAGATGCCACATCATATGGATCTCTGCTGTTTTTGATCTCTGTCCTATTTCTGAAAGCAGAGCTTGCCAAGTAAGTTACTTTTTCAGACTGCAACTCCCAGAGATTTCCCCCTCCCTGCAACCAGCCAGCATGGCCACATATTGGCTGTGGATTCTGAAAATTGTAGCCCAAGCAAGTAACTTTTCCATTCTTTATAAAGTTGCCATGTTGCAAGACGATTGTTTCAAAGGGTTATTTACCCATGAAGATACCCAAGGTGAAACCAGGCAAGTGTCTAGAGGGCCAGACAAAGACCAGACCAACCCACTGTCCTCCTTGAATAGCTGCAAGGAAGATAGATTTGGGGGCTGTTGAGGACAAAACTATTTAACCCCTTCTAATCAGGTTTGTTTCTCATCCCTGACAAATTTGTCCTCTTATGAGAAAACCTGCAGATATTATATTATTTTCATAATACATTTCATCCACACATTGAACACTATCAGAATTAGGTTAACAGAGACTGGGCTATGTCTGCTTGTTTGTTTGTTTAAAGGAATCGATAGTGCATTGAAGAATCTGATTTTTTTTCCCTCTTCAGGCTGGCTGGATAGTTTAGTGACTTAAGCATCTGGCTCTAGAGCCAGAGGTTGGGAGTTCAATTTGTCACGGTATATCCCAGAAGAGCCATCCTGGGTGGCCTTGGGCAAGCTGCACAGTCCCAGGATGCCCCCAGAAGAAGGGAATGGCAAACCGCTTCTTAGGTATTCTATACCTAGAAAACTCTGAAAAGGGTCACTGGAAGTCAGAACTGACTTGACAGCAGTTAATCTCCAGATAGTATTAAGAATTTATTTCAATGAGGGTGTAAACAGTGAGGAGGTGCATATTGGAGTCATAAAATACCAGAAATATTAAAAGTACAGATTGTTATAGCTGATCACTCAATGTAAGCAAATGGGAAGAGATACGCAGGAGGGAGAAGAATTTATTGGCTGAACAACCTGGGAAGATGGCTTGGATCCAGCATGTCACCATTTTTAGAGGTGTTACATTCAAAGTCAGAACTGTTACGATGAGGTCCAAACTTGGGGCAGAGATAGCTGGTAGCACTATCTGCCATGGCTTCCCAGTCGACATATCAGAAAAGACTCATTTTTCTTTGTGCTCTGCAGAGCAAGATAATAATAGTGCATCATCTAGGTAGAGAGTGTTCAGAATTGGTTTACCCTTCCCTTATTTTGACAGCAACCTGCGACTGTGCACCTGTCTTGGGCTGGCTCTACTCACAGGAGGCACAATGGGGAATTGAACTCCTAGCCTTTACCTAACTCACTGAGTTATCCAGTCAATAGCCCAGGCTATAACGTAGGCCTTGCATTATTTTATTTATTCATCTTATATGCTGTCCACTCTACCCAAAGATCTCTGGGCGGTTTAATAGGCCTTCATTGCCTACCCAGACAGAGGGATAGTGTACTTTTAAAAACCACAACTTCAAAGGTTCCCCCAGGCAGCATGTAGTCTCTGTGTGTAGTTTTTCTCTTGAGGATTAATCCTCCATCCAGCCAACAAAGGTAATATCACAACCTGTCAGTCTTTTAAGATGCCATTATTCTTTCTTGTATGTGTGTATGTGTGCATCTGACCAAATAGGCTCATTAAATGTAAAAACATTAATTACGCTATTATGTTGATATTAGCTTCTTTATCACAGGTCTCCTGCATACACTGGTACCTAACAAGATGATTACCCTGCAAAACGACGAATCCGCATGACGATGAGGTTTTGCGATCACCATTGCACTTCACAAAACAGTGTTTTCTATGGGCAATTTTCGCTGGACGATGTTTCGATCCATGCTTCGCAAGACT